TTCTTGAGATTTTTAACATGTTCTTCAAACTAAGACAAAAATGGTTATTTTAAGCACTGATCACTGAAAGGTTCTTCTCTATATTTTAAGAGCGTACGTCTAGTGCCTCCGGTGGCTCTGAAATTACACACTTCACCTTTCATTTGGAATTGGAAATAAGTTCTTCTGACAGTGCACTTGTTCCTGTGAGGATGTGGTGCAGTTCCAATTAATATTAAAAATGGCATAACGGACCTAATATTTATAAAATTACGCTCCTCTCTTGGATGACAGGGGTTTGCGAAATGTGTCTAACGGTGCCAGACTATCCGGAAAACACTGATTGAATTAAATCCTGCTTTTGCGGGACGAATAATCTAGTAAACAAAGCTATCTCATCCGCCCTTGGGCCAGCAATTCATCTGCCATTCTCAGCACCTCAGCGTGTGTCATTGAGCTTCTCTAGCCTTCATTCAGCGCACATACACCTAATAGCAGAAGTTACAGAAAGTCCACTGCTCAGACAGTGACAACTGCATTATTTCCTAGAAATTAGGTGCAGAGACTCAAAACCGAGGAGGGAAGATAATACTTGGAGAAAGTACAGTATATACAATACAATACAATACAATTTTATTTATATAGCACAGTTTAAAAACAGCCGGAGTTGACCAAAGTGCTTGACAACACTATACCAACAATAGGCAAATTAAAACAGTTGTAAAACAAAATAACTCATTAAATATACACAGAATATACACAAGCTGTAATAATGTGTGGCGTTCCTGAGAACAAAGTCAAAGACAGTTTGTCATGGGATATCAAACGCCAACGAAAATAAATAAAACAGACAAGGTATATATAATAATATATTTCATTCGTTTTTTTGTTTTTTTTTTAAGAATATTTTTTGTGTGTGTGTGTGTGTGTGTGTGTGTGTGTGTGTGTGTTTCAAAGAAGTCGCTTGAAACAAGCAACAAAAATATCTGCCAGTGGGGTAAGAAAAATAATCTTGATTCAAAGGGAAAACAAGCAAAAACAAAAAAAATGTTGAAAAAAATATTTCAGAAAACAAGACTTAATATCAATGACTTAAGTAATTTTGCTTCTCAAGTAAATATATCTAGATTAAACAGTCTTTGCATATTTATACTGGAAAACAAGGCAAAAATACTAAGAAATAAAATATATATATATTTTTTTTTAGTGAAGACTGCATTTAAAAATACAGTAAAATTTGTGAAATATTATTACAATATTATTACAATGCGAATATCTGTCTAATGTATTCCTATGATAAAAGCTGAACTTCCAGCATCATTACTCCAGTCTTCATTAGGAGTGGGACAATAAATTGTTGTGGCTCAATTATGCGATTTTCTGAATGCATCGCGAATGCATTATTATACTTGAAGCGAATTTCAAGAGTGTTCACAGTAGGCTGTTTACATTAATCTCGCATCATAAGTACATTTAACTACTTGCATTACTCAGCCGAACACACAAGCGTTTAAAAACTTAAACCTTTAAACTGAGGTTAAAAACTTGCCTAGAGCGCCATCTACTGTTAAAAAAATTAAGCTCAGAATCGCGATGCATTCAGAAAATCACAGAATTGATCCACGAATCGATTTATCGTCCCACCCCTAGTCTTCAGTGTCACGCGATCCTTCAGAAATCATTCTAATATGCTGATTTGCTGAAACATTTCTGATTATTATCAATGTTGAAAACAGTTGTGGTTTTATAAAAACGTCTTTATATACATTAAATTGCATGGTTTGTAGTTCTGTGATTTGATTGGACAATGACAGACAGAGTAGGTCAGCTACTGGCTGGCATCAGTAATAACCTGTCACTCAATTAAAACCCAATTGCCCTTTGTTATTTCTGAGCTAATTTAGCTTTTTAATGCATTTGACATCTCTTGCTAAAGAGGTTTTTTGAGGGGTTTCATTCATCCAGAACATCATATTTGCCATTTGACGATATAGTGCCACTGATTGTTAATGTGGGTGGCAAAACATCTTCAAACAATGCAAGGTACAGTAGGTCAAGTCAGAACAAATGAATTCTACCTGATAAATAGCATGCATTAAATGAATGAAGTCAAGCAGTCGTATCCAATAAGCGCCAGAGCAAACTCAACAACCAGTGTTCGCAACGCATGCTTAAATAGAGTAGCACACGTTCAGTCAGTGATTACAGCTAGAGATGAGAAAAAGTGTCTCAGGCAAGTCATCTGTTAAATCAGCGAGCGGATCACAGAAACACAGGCCCTCCTCTGGCTTTGGCTGCGGTGTAATCAGGGATTTAGAGCTCCTAATTGCTCCTTTGGAGTCATTGTGCTGGATAAATGAATTAGATGTTAAATCCCTCATGCCAGCAGGGCATATTCATCTGATGCTTCTGTGTTTATGCCACAAAGTGACAGTAAAAACACACCTAAACCAAGACTCCATGTTACGCAGGTCTGAAGAACATTTAGATAATTACTCCTCATTTCCTTATTATTCCTTCCTTGTTATTTGAATCAACAATGAACTGATTTCAATTGAAAAGTGTCTGTTTACTGTTGTCTTTTTAGAGCTGCTGCACAGCAGAATTGACTTCTGTTTGCATCACTGAATTTTTTCCCCACTGTGAAGTTGTTTTGAAACAGTCTGTTGTATAAAGTGCTTTAGAAATAAAGGTGACTTGAGTTTTTCTCAAGGCCACACAAATGCCTTTATTCAGATCTTAACAACACTAAAAGCTGGAAAAACAACATTGGTCTCATGCTGGGAAAGACATGTACAGTGTATTTGGGTAGTTGGCACATTTATTGTTCTTTAAAAACACAATTTTAGCATGCATATCAGCACCCTATTGCTTAAGGGTCGATGTTATTGAGTTATAATTATTTTGTCCCATATCTGATTTATAATCAGCCGTTATTGGATACGTATTGTGCATCCTCATTTACCCTGTGTTTATATAACAATTTTATATTTACCATCATCTAATATTCACTTAAAGTTCATATTTAAAAACACAAAGCATAATATTATAATCTTTAGAAAATTTCCAAATTAATATCCATTTTTTTCATACTGGTAATCTCTAAATAGTGTTATGAGTAAACTCACTTGTATTTGTGTGATCTATTTAGGCTTTGTTAAACAAAATAGTGTTGAGTTTTAATATCAGTTTTAATACCATTTATCGTTAGCATCCATAACATGAAAATAAATATTGCCTTGTCTGTATTGGTCAGAATTTTATCTTAGGCCTTATAAATGGACACAATTTCCTGGAAGGTTTTTAAACACCGTTTTGCCTGTGCTATTTAAAAAAAAGAGAGAGAGAGAGAGAGAGAGAGAGAGAGAGAGAGAGAGAGTAACTGGCTATTTTGTAATATCTGGAATTCATTTTCTACTCAAAAGGATCCATTCATACTTGAAAACTATCCACTGTCAGTGTGTATTGTGTACTAAGTCTTGAGGTCTCTGTGTTCGGTTGCGTATCTCATTAAAGATATTATAGACATGTTGTTTTACAAAGCGTAACAGGCTATCTGCTGTCTTGTTTATTTAAAAGTCTTGTTTATTCAAGAGAAACCCACGCTTTAATTGCAGGGCAGGTGATTTGGTTCAAAAACATGTTTTGTTATGCTGGTTGAAAGTCTCTTCACATCCCGATAGCAATCACTAAGTGGTCTAAATATATCTATATCATCTGTGGAAGGCGTAGGACCATAGAATGTCCAGTCGTATTCCTTGGTCTGAGGCGCTATTATTGTAATATTATGTGCTTTGTACTGTAATGTTTTCTCAGCGGTGAATGAGACGAGCTAATCTGACAGCGTTGACGCTGGTTATCCTCTGCTCTGCTGTATGTGTTTGCAGGAGGCGTGGCTTTGGAGAGTGATTTGCAGGGAGGGTGGGATCTTATGCTTTCAAAGCTAGCTTGCTATCGCTACACTGTTTAGGTACAATTTACAAACAAAGACTGAGTAAAATGTATTTGAGTATTGCAGAGTAAACTTCAGATGAGTAACCTCAACAACTCTAACTGGCCGAGTTCAATTTACTTATACTCTTTGTTCATTTTACATAGATTTGACTTAATTACATACTTAATATTAGTTAAAAGTAGTGCTATCAAACGATTAATCGCATCCAAAAAAATATTTTTGTTTACATAATATATGTGTGTGTACTGTGTATATTTATTATGCATGTATAAACACACACACACACACACACACACATATGTATATATAATTCAATTCAATTCAAGTTTATTTGTATAGCGCTTGTCACGATACAAATCGTTGCAAAGCAACTTTACGGAAAATTAAGTTTATACAATATTTAGTAGTAGCTTATCAGAAAGATGTTATGTTTGTATATTAAATATATTTATAATTTATATATATATAACATAAATTATGTGAATATAAATGTATACATGTAAATACATACAGTATATATTTTGAAAATAAATACATGTGTGTTTATATACATAATAAATATGCACAGTACACACATATATTATGTAAACAAAAACTTTCATTTTGGATGTGATTAATTGTTTGACAGCACTACTTAAAAAATGAGTGTAAAAACATGAAAAAGAAAAATAAAGTACTTTTTCTTTTTTTTTTTGAGTGCATGCAGATAAATTTGATATGCTGCATCTATCCAACTTTTAATATATCGCTGAGTGAGTCATAAAAGCCCATGCTGGGAATCACAAAAATAATTGTAGTTAATTAATTTCATATATTGACACTCGCTTCGAATATCATGTTGGACAACCTTCAAGTCAAAAGGTTCTAAACTCAATTCCATTTTTGTCCAAACAGTTTAATAAAATGAATTATGATCCTAGGATCATTGCAGCGCTCTGCTTGGTTTCTCCTGAGTTGACCAAAGTAAAATTAAACTGACCTGCAAGGTGATGCTAATGCATCTTTGATGATCGAGGAACGCAAACTGATTATTGCATCACTCTCTCTCTCTCTTTCTCCGATGCAGGTGGTGGGTCAGATCGACAAACTCACATCAGATTTCGACCTGGAGCCCGACGACTGGACGGTGGCGACGGCGAGCAGCACGTCGAGCAGCGAGCGTGGCTTGGGTGAGGCTTTCAGACTGGACTTCCTCAGCCAAGACATGCTCTCCGACGGCTGGGACTTCTGCAACTTCCTAGAGGCCTCCAACCGGAAAGCACAGCGAGAGGAGACGGATGAGGGCCAGGGGAGGCCGTCATCGTCCACCGCCAGCGTCTACTCACAGATGAACGGGGGCCTCCCCATCCCCAACGGACCCCTAATCATCACCCCGGACTCCTCCAGCGAGGAGGCATCCAGCTCCACGCACAGCCAGAAAACCAGAGAACGCGTGCGCTTTAGCGACAAGATCCTCTACCACGCTTTGTGCTGCGACGACGATGAAGACGAGGAGGAGGATGGTGGCGCCAAGGAGGACGATAAAGGGGACTGTGGGACCCCAGACACAGACAGCGAGCCCAGTCCTCTGGCCTGTTCGCCCGCTGAACACCCGCCGGGTGTCTATAACTGTCGAGAAACGGCGTCTGCGGGGCCCTCTCCTGTGAAGATGCCAGGGATGGGCTCTCACACTTTACCCAGGAAAGGTCTTCTCAATCCCAAAAAACTGCTACGGAACAGCAGCACACAGACGGTTTCGGATAAGAGCACTCAGACTGTACTGCCCTACGTCCCCGCCAAACAGAAAAACAAGGACCTCTGAGAGAACAGCCGAATTTACATAAACAAAACACCAACGGACTGAGACAGGATTACAAAGAACTGTATACTATTTAATATTAAATACATAGATAATAGATTTAAAAAAAAAAATGAATTACTAAATAAATTATATATGGGAAAATTTCAAGACTTGCCAAAGTCATTTTATGACTCTTGCACACATTCAGAAGAGATTTTCTCGTCCTTTCATATATTATCAGAGCTTGGTTTCCTTTCAGCGTTATTCTGTTTAGGCTTTATTGATATCGAGGTCTTTAAAGTGTTCATATGAAAACTGCTGAAGTTAGGAAAGGTTCAAATGCTGTTTTGCGCACAAGACAAGACCAACACTAATGAGTTTTGTTTCTAAAAGAAGTCTCTTCTGCTCAACAAGGCTGCGTATATTTGCTCAAAAATACAGTACAACCAATAATATCTTGCAAAATATTACTAACATTTAAAATAACTGTTTTCAATTGTAATATATTTTAAAATGTAATTTATTCCTGTGATGCAAAGTTGATTTTTTTTTTCCTTTTTTTTTTTTTGCAATTATTTTTATTTTATTTTATTTTGTTTTTTTATTTGTTTTTTTATTGTAGAAACAATGATACACTACCATTTAAAAGTTTGGGATGGATGGATGGATGGATGGATGAATGAATCTTTCTATTCATCAAATAATCCTTAAAAAATAAATAAAATATAAAAAAAAATTGTATCATTGCATAAAAAATATGAAGAAGCCAGTATGACTTTAGTATCATTGAGATACTATAATATTTTGAATCATTTATCATTATTTTAGTGCATCAAGTTAAACTAACTGAAAATGAGAAATGTTGTTTTTATTCCAGCAATTAGCTGAAATAAAACAAATGTTTATTTATTTATTTATTTATTTATTTATTTCAGTTAACGTTTAACTGAACATTAACTTTAACAACCTTGGAAGCAGCACAGCTGTTTTCAACATTGATAATAATCAGAAATGTTTCTAATAATCAGCATATTAGAATAATTTCTGAAGATCATGTGACACTGAAGACTGGAGTAATGATGCTGAAAATACAGCTTGCGCATCACAGAAATAAATTACAGTTTAACAGATATTCACATAGAAAACAGCTATTTTAAATTGTAATAATATTTCAAAATTTTTACTGTTTTGTCATCAAATAAACACAGCCGTGGTGAGCAGAAAGAGACTTATTTCAGAAACATTACACAATCTTAGTCTCTACATGAGGGAGTCAGGTAAATCTGCTTTGATTTTTCCGAGTATTTGAGGATTGCACCCTCAGTTCAGAGCCTTTGGTTGGGTGGAATGAGGGACGGGATAAAAAGATGTATTTTGAAGTGTCTGCTTTCCTCTCTGACATTTACACTGCTTCTCTTGCCTCTCTCCTCTCGGCGGGGAGGTCGAGGTCATTGGGGGTGACGACTTGAATCTCGGTGCACAAAGCTGAGATGCGAAAGGTTATGTCTCCCTATTCTTGGGCCCAGTGGGGATTGTGAACTCAATAGTGCTGTGTTTTATTCAAAGGGATGTTGCCAATAGTGCAGCGGATCGATCCTCAGCGAGGGGCTCCCGTGCTGAGTCCTCGTCTCGCGCCTTTGAGGGTCTTAAACAAAAACCTGCCTCTCTGCTAGAGCTCGTGGTATTTACTCCACAGCACAGAAACAATCCTGTGAGTGGGAGGAACGCAGAAAAGAGAGCGAAATTATACATTAGAGAAAATGGAAAGGCAAATGAAGGGCAAAGTGCCCAGCAAAATGAGTGTTTGAAGACAGATTGTTCTTAATTACCCCCTCGGCATAATCATTAACTCAGATTCCTCTCCCGCGGGAGCCGAGACGGTCAGACCGATAGATCCTGAATGACCAGACGAGACGTTTATCTTGAGAAATCTGATGGTGGGTCATTAGGTCAGACTGTGGATTCAAATCAAGCACGCTGATGGATGACGTTCAGTGTAAACTCAAGAGGATGTGTTATAGGCTATCATGCTCAAATGTCCCTCTGTGACACCTAAAAACGGGTCACCAAAGGAAGATTTCTGCAAACGAGACATTATTAAGATACCTGCTATTCCACAGTTTGCAATAATTAATAAAAACCAGTATCTAAAACTCACAATCTCACAGGAATTGCTCAGCTATTTCTACATCTTAAAACATTATTATAAATGTCTTGTACAGAAATTTACCATGGTACCACAAGCTTCCATCAAATGCCAATACACTGATTAGCAGGCCTATAAAACAACAGTAACTTGGCAGTAAACTCTGAAATTAATACATGTTAAATAAAATTTAAATTTAAATTACATTTAGAAAAAAAACAATAATAATTTTAGCAGATGCTTTTATCCAACGCGACTTACAAAGGAGGACAACAGAAGCAATCAAAATCAACAAAAGAGCAATGATACGCAAGTGCTATAACAAGTCACAGTTAGCTTAACAGAGCACACGTAGAAAGTTTTTTTTTTTTTATAAATAAAATAATAATAAATAAAATTAAAAACAAATAGATAGAATACGAAAAGATTAGAGAAGCTAGTGTTAGTTTTTTTTTATTTTTATAAATAGAATTAAAATAGAGAGTGCTAGAGTTAGAGGATCAAGTAAAGATGGAAGAGATGTGTTTTTAGCCGATTCTTGAAGATGGTTAAGGACTCAGCTGCTTGGATTGGGTTGGGCAGGTTATTCCACCAGGAGGGAACAGTTAATGTAAAAGTCCTTGAAAGTGATTTTGTGTCTCTTTGGGATGAACAATAAAGCGCTGTTCACTTGCAGAACGCAAGCTTCTAGAGGCACATAACTCTGAAGTAATGAATTTATGTAAAGGGGTGCAGAGCCAGTGGTGGTTTTGTAGGCAAACATCAATGCTTTGAATTTAATGTGAGCAGCTACTGGTAGCCAGTGCAAATTGATGAACAGAGGTGTGACGTGCATTATTTTCGGCTCATTAAAGATTAATCTTGCTGCCGCGTTCTGGATTAATTGTAGAGGTTTGATAGAAGTTGCTGGAAGACCTGGCAAGAGAGCATTGCAATAGTCCAGCCTTGACAGAACAAGAGCTTGAACAAGGAGTTGTGAAGCATGTTCTGAAAGAAAGGACCTGATCTTCTTGATGTTGAATAAAGCAAATATGCAGGACCGGGCAGTTTTAGCAATGTGGCCTGAGAAAGATAGCTGATCATCAATCATAACTCCAAGATTCCTGGCTGTTTTTGAAGGAGTTATGGTTGATGTGCCTAACTGGATTGTGTAATTGTGGTGAAACGATGGGTTTGCTGGAACCACAAGCAGTTCTGTCTTGGCAAGGTTGAGTTGAAGGTGATGGTCCTTCATCCAGCAATTTATAATGTTACAAAATATTTATATTTCAAATAAATTATGTTCTTTTGAACTTTCTATTCATCCGTGAATCCCGAAAAATAAAATGCATCACGGTTTCCACAAAAAAATATTGAGCAGCACAGCTGTTTCCAACATTGATAATAATCAGAAATGTTTCTTGAGCAGCAAATCAGCATATTAGAATGATTTCTGAAGATCATGTGACACTTAAGACTGGAGTAATGATGCTGAAAATCCAGCTTTGATCTCAGAAATAAATTACAGTTTAACAGATATTCACATAGAAAACAGCTGTTTTAAATCGTAAAAAATATTTCACATTTATTACTGTTTTTACTGTATTTTTGATCAAATTAATGCAGCCTCGGTGAGCAAAAGAGACTAACATTTAAAAAATGTGATCTACATGTGTTCAATTTGTGTTAACCAAGGTATTTTGGTGGATTTGGGACTAAAGAATCAGTTTATTGGATTGCAGTCGAGACAATTAAGACAATCATCCAGCAATGGTGTCAGCAATGCGCTCATGCTGGCAAACTGAACCCGACGTTTTGCTCACATTTCCATTCATCTCGTGTGTTTAATGTTGGCGAGGCTTTGTGGTGAAGGATGCATTGAATAACAATCAAAGGATCACACCCCGCTGCTCCAGCTGCCATTTCTTTCAGTTAGATTGAAGACCAACAGGTCATCAGACGCATTAGCATAAACAAGCAAAGCAGCGGCTGCAAGAAAAGCCATCTATCACCAGAAAAACAGACCAAGAGCAGCACCTTCACAGCCAGTAAGGGCTAAAACACCGAGTGAAGCTTGCTCTGTTTTACTAACATGCCATTAGGTGATCAGATCGGCATCGACAGATTTGTCTTTAAATGAACGAGCTTGGTTTGGTAATTGAAGCGATTCGGCGCAGAGCTGATTTGACTACAAAGCTCTGCTTTCTGAAGTGAAACACAAGGATGAGTTTGAGTTAAAACAGGCTGTATGATGTATGAGATGCATGACAGTCTGTATCCTTTATCAAGGATCAATTATTGCGTGTGTAAAAGTGTGACAAGTTTATATTAGATCTTCTCCAGTCAGCCATACAGCGCCGGTCTGCCCACCAACAAACAAGTGTGGTGGGAGCGAGGGGGATTATTTAGCCAATTAAAGAGGATAATGAAGTGGATTTGCTGATAAAGTCCTATTGGAGACTGCGGTCCAAGAGACGGGAACTAATAAGCCTTCAGTCTGAGAGGGTGGCAAATGTTTTTAACTACTAGCAGACAGCATCTCACATCGCCTCCAGGCCATCATTACTTTGTACCTGAACAGAGCAGTGACGTTTCATTACTGTTAAGACTTTTGTCTTAAAGTGTTTATTTCTGGGCACGTCAGGGGAAAAACCTCAGCTGACATCCACATGAGCTCTGGATCTGGACACAGGTCTGCCACAACTAAACCTTTTTGGTCATTTACTGGGTTTTAGAAACACTTTCTGTCATTTGGATGGGTTAAAAATAAGTTATAAGTTGTCTGTTGCATTCCCTGCTTAACCCTGTAAAACCTGAAATAATAGTCATTAAATAATGTCCAATGGGAAATGGAACAGTTTATTGAACCTTTGAGACAATCAACTTTTGCATATGT